GCCATTGACAATCTCCGACGGACCTTAATAGTGCGATGAGACGTCTCGCTGAAGATACAATATCAGTTCCGATTCTCACGGCGTCAACTTCTGAAATCTCGCTTAGACTCCGTGCCGCAACACCGTCGGCGAACTCCGACCGTTCAAGAGACATTAAGTTCTCGGAGAGAGAGTAGGAGAGTATCTAAAGACAAGACATTGATAGTTTTGTCGAATGAAGAAGCAGAGATTTGGCGTATAGAGACCGTGAAGGAATAAAGTGAACAACCAGTCTTGTTTTGTTTTGTTTTTTTTTTTAATTTAGTTTTGTATTTAATTGTTGTCAATTATTATATTTAAAAAAATATATTAAAGTAGACAATTATTTTTGTAAGAAAGCAGCGAATCATGTCGAGGCACAAGCCACCAAATGACCAAAATGGTGATGACAAACCAAACCTGAAATATTTTAGTTGGGATATAAAGTAGTTGGTAAGTTATTATTTGGAAAAATGATTGCCAACTACGCCAACACATCACCACACATACAGACTATTTTAATGTTTTGCTAACTACACGAACTATTGGTATTACATACTAACATCCCCGAACTATCATCGGTTATGTGTTCAACACCATAACCATCATTTCCAAATAATATAAATGTCTTGTTAACTACACGAAGTATTTCTTTTTTTTGTCAACTACACGAAATATTTTCATCAATTTTTTTTTTTAAACTAATAAGTTAAATAAAACTATATAATATATCAATGTAAATTATATATGTACATTATAACTATTCTAACTTTAAAATTTTAATGTAATAAAGACTAAACTAGTTCCATAAAAAATATATGTGTTCATTAAAAATTTGTTAATTAACTTAAACTATAAAGAACATGTATAATTTAATTAAGTGACACTTTTAAAAATTTAGTTAAATTAATTTCATATAAAACATATGTGTGCATTAAAAATTAGTTAATTAATTTAACTTAAAATTATAAGGGATACTGCATATGTAGAATTTAAACTTTAAAAGTTATAATGCATATATATAATTAACAATAGTGTATTATTTACTTGGGAGACTCACAAAAATGCCCCTTTTTCAATACCCCTTTTCAAAAATGCCCCCTTTGATGTCCATTTTTAAAAATACCCCTTTTATGTACAAAATGACTAAATTACCCTTCTTTTAATAAAAGATATCATAAATATATAAGGAAATATAACAAAATTAGGTCCACAAAATACAAAATATTTTTTGGCGGGAAAAGTGATCCCCCAATTTTTCCCGCCAAAACACTTGTAAAAATTTGTAAAACCTTTAAAATACCTTGTAAAATTTTCCCGTAAAATTTTTCCCGCCAAAAAATTTTCCCGCCAAAAAAATTTTTTTGCGGGAAAAGTGATTCCGCAATTTTTTTGGCGTTAAATTTTTGGCGGGAAAATTTTTCCCGCCAAAAATTTACAAGGTATTTTAAAGGTTTTTTACAAGGTATTTATAAGGTTTTACAATGTATTTTAAAAGGTTTTACAACGTATTTACAAGGTATTTATAAGATATTATAAGATTTTACAAGCTATTTTATAAGGTTTTTACAAGTTATAAGGTTTTACAAGTTTTTTATAAGGTTTTACAAGTTATAAATACCTTATAAAACCTTAAAGTACCTTGTAAAACCTTTTAAAATACATTGTAAAACCTTACAAAACACTTGTAAATACCTTGTAAAAAACCTTTAAAATACCTTGTAAATTTTTCCCGCCAAAAATTTTTCCGCCAAAAAAATTTCGCAAAAAAAATTGCGGAATCACTTTTCCCGCAAAAAAAATTTTTTGGCGGGAAATTTTTTTGGCGGGAAAAATTTTTACGGGAAAATTTTACAAGGTTTTTTAAAGGTTTTTACAAGTGTTTTGGCGGGAAAATTGCGGGATCACTTTTCCCGCCAAAAAATATTTTGTATTTTGTGGACCTAATTTTGTTTCAAATAAGGGTAAAATGGTCATTAAAAATTAAAAGAGGGCAAACTTAAAAATAGACTCTCAAAGGGGGCATTTTTGAAAAGGGGTATTGAAAAAAGGGCATTTTTAACAATTTCTCTATTTACTTTTAGTTATTTTTTCATTTTGTAATTTAGTTTTTAAAAAATGATGGAAATATTTCGTGTAGTTAACAATACATTTATATTATCTGGAAATGATTGTTATGGTATATATAATTTACATTGATATATTATATAGTTTTATTTAACTTATAGTGATGTATAATTTAACTAAGTGACTATTTTAAATTTTTAACAATTTAATATAATAAATATTAAATTAGTTAAATTAATTTAACTTAAAAGTATAATGCATTAAAAGTTATAATATATATATATATATATATAATTTATAATAGTGTAATATTTACTTTTTAGTTATTTTTTATTTTTTAATTACTTTAAAAAAAAAAAAAAATTGATGGAAAATACTTCGTGTAGTTGACAAAAAAAAGAAATATTTCGTGTAGTTAATTAACAAGACATTTATATTATCTGAAAATGATGGTTATGGTGTTGCACACATAACCGATGATAGTTCGGGGATGTCCGTATGTAATACCAATAGTTCGTGTAGTTAGCGAGACATTAAAATAGTCTGCATGTATGGTGATGTGTTGACGTATAATTCGTGTAGTTGGCAATGATTTTTCCTTATGATTTCTAGGTATACCACCACTAGAGCCATACTTGTGTTTTATATGATTGGATCTATTTTTTTTTCAGTTTTTGACTAAAGCTATCGAATTACTTTTGAAGTCCTAGCATTATCTTTTTGAGTAATGTTTTTAGTGCAGGATTTTTGATCATTGATTTTGTTTTTCAAGATTATTATTATCTTGTGGTTGTTTTCTAAGATTGTTTGGAAATTGCAAGCTCAAAAAATGGAGATTGTTGATATATGATCGAGGTGAGATGTTATTATTTTCTCAAACCTCCAATTAGACAAAGACGGATGCTAACTATTTCCGTATATGTTGAGCTTTAGTAGACCTTCCGAGTAATATTGGCGTGGGAGGTCAGTCAATCACCGGAAGATCTCATGCGATTATGCATATGCTTGTGGTCTTCGATATGTTATCTTTTTGAGCGGCCAATTATGTAGAAAAGCTTTAGTAGCCAAGTTGCCTTGTGTATGGGTGTAGAAGCGCGCGTGCGGCTTCTTTTTTTCCTAAAGTTAAGTTATTAGTCGGTCCAAAATATTATTACTCATGGCCTGCTTTGATGATACCCATTTATCACCAAACAGTATATGCTGAATAAAATTTAATTTCTTGCAATTAATGCTAATTGTCAATTATTCAAAGCTTGTAGATCATAATTTGGTGTTTGGTTTGTTAAAAAACATGAAACCAATTACTGATTTGAGGAAGAATATGAATAGTGACAAAAATCCAGTTTTGAAATTATGAGTGAAGTTTCAGTGGTTGTTTTAAACTTTTATGATCTTATTAGGTTCGAAATTTATAGAGCATGTTAATCAATAGCTGGTGTTTAAATTTATAATGTTAATGTGTTTGTATTTAATTGGTTTTAGTTCTTTGGTTTCTACTTATTTTGTATTTTTTATTTGTTTCTATTTCATATTACGTCCTCTTAGCAACGTTTTTGAGTCTTCAACTCGAAAAATTGCCGCATGAAACCTAATCTACGAGACATCATGTGTGACCTAGGGCTACAGTACAACACACTAATCGACTTGTATTACAAGAATATGAGAACTAATTAAAACTATATGACTCAAATTTATAGTGTTGGGGAATGGCAAATGATTTAAGTTTGAGGTCTTCGATTCTCAGATGGTCAATCATAACAAAATCTGGTTGGAGAAGAATGACATCGGTCTAATATTATGCTTCATGTTATTTCTTTTGATGCTCTCTTTTGGTTATCATTTGACTGTAAAGAAACAATGCGATCAACATAAACCTCGGATGAGATAATGTAAATATATAATATTTGAAATATGTTTTATTCATATAACTGATAATCTACTACTAATAAAAGAAACTCATTGAAGCTTCTCAATGTGTCTACATCAGCAAAAACAAAATCATCTAAGAAGATGCCACGTCAGATTTGTTTGAGAATTGTCCTCAGGAGAAGAATGCACTTCGTATCCTCCTCAAACTTCGATATTGATAGCTGCTTTTATTAGTCACCTCATTAATGATTTGTTAACAAAAAACGTTACACTATAATTATAAACAAAAACTCTCAAACTAATCAGCTCCTTTAATTTGCATTACGTTTTCGCATCCCTAAGTTCAACTCTTTTGTCTTCTATTTGCGTTCATACCAAACGACAACCAGAGTTAAATTAATAAGAAATTCCCACATTAAAAAAGGTAACCTGTGATGGTTTTGAGAAACTAAGCCATTTTCCAAAAAAGAAAAGGACAAGAAAGCAGTGTCAAAGCCATGATGTAATATTGACGTTGGCCAGACCGTGAGCGGATGGTGCTATGGGACAATAAAAAAGTGATACTGACGACGTGGGTTTACGGATCTTGATCGGCCAATTATCTTCTCCAAATCTCAACACAAGGTTCACTCTGTTCTAATCCTCTATATGAAATTTCTCTATTTTTAATTTACCCTGGAGATTGTTATCTTCGTCTATGATTTCGGTTTGGCTTCATAGCTAATTATCGATTAGAATTAGAATTACGTTAGAAAGAAACTTACAACCAAAATTAAGTAGATTTTTCAAGACATGTCTGCGTTTTCATAGTGATCTAATGCACATGCCATGATTAGGAAATTGGTGCTGCCATTCTACTAAGATTAAAGAGGATGAAAATCAAGAGTGTTCTCAAGTTCAACCTTAGTCTCAAGGCTTAGAGACGTTCCGTTAGCTAAAGGGCGACTGAGACAACTGCAAATAAATTATGAGGGGAAAATAGATGAGAAAATACTATATAGACTAATAATAAATCTCAATTTATAAATATAAAATAGAATAAAAAATTAAAGATTTATAAATTTAAACAATTAATAGTACACAAAAAATGTAGTGTAATATGATTTTTTTTTTTTGCATGTCTACTAACAAAACTATAAACGAACTAAAACTTAAATTAACTAATTTTTTAAACAATTAAGCTGCCAAATATATCTCCGGGCGTAGTGTAGCCCGGATTCTCCCTAGTACATATAAAATAAGAAGTTAGTTAGTAATTAGGAGGACTAGCAATGAAAGGATCAACTTGAGATTCAAATTTGGTAAAGCAATAACATATGTAAAACAAATGAAGGTCCCGTTTACAAATTTCTTTCGCGTAACCTTTTGATGTGTATATTTTATTGCATTGCGATGTGCTATTGCATTTGTCGTCACAACTGGTAGGACGTTTTTCTATTTGGTTCATATATAAACACAATAGCAATATTTTACGTAAATTAATGATCAATTATATATTTTATCATGGAAATTGCACATACAAGCATCTCAAATTTCTTAAGAGGATTCCAAATAATCAAAAAAAAAAAACAAATAAACACCATCAATGAAGGTAGCAGAAGAGATAAGAATTTCTTAGTTCTCATTAGTTAAGATCTGAAAACTACTTTTCAAGAATATATTTTAACCTAAAGGGCAAACAAAACCACTAAAAATATTAGGTACAAAATCAACATTACGTTTAATATAAGAGATATGTTGTCTTCTTTAATTAAATGTTTGTTTTTTACATTTCCTACAAAATCATACATATTTATAAATCGATTTACCTTTTATCTTTCTGATATTATACCAGTTACAAAGAATTGATTGCGATGGTCTTGTAAATGCCTTTATATAGATATATACATGTTTACATACATTTATATATATAGATTCCAATTATTAATATGTCTACCATGTTTTTACCTTTGGTCAACTACCTCCATATTATGTTAATGTATTAACTATAACATAATAAACTTTCCATGAGAAAAATATAAATTTTAAAGTTTTAAAACGTTTCATAATTTATTATCTTTCTATTTTATATTATCAATATTTATTAAGTTATTATGTTAACACTAAAAAAAATATTTTAAAAACATTATTTCATTTTCTTCTCAAATATCTTTTATATTGTAACCTGAAATAGACAAAAAAATAAAAAAAATAATAATAATAATGCATGCATAATACTATGGGTCTGACTGGTAGAAGGGGAGAAGAAATATTTCTTCTCTAATAATCTCTGGACCCACTACTTTAATTTTTTGTTCTCAAAGAAAGTTTTTTTTTTTCCAACAGAAAACTTTCTTCCGCTTAATATTAGAAGTACAAAATTCCTCCAACTTCCTCTAGTTTTATCTTTTCTACTTACACCAGTCAGACCCTATGTACAATAAAGCGTTGGGTATGAAAGTAGTATCCATGTGAGGTATAAGGAAACATATGCGACTTACAAAGGTCGTGGTGGATAAAGGATTAAAGGTAGATGGACAGTGGCAGACATAGCGATGATTACTGGATAGATTTTGTCATCATCTTACTGTGTGATAGATAATGTGTTCTACCAAGGCCGTGGTGTACGATTGATTGGTATGACCATAAAAACAAATTTTGGAAAAGTTTAAAGGGATTGGAAGGATTTTCTAGCTTTACTCATAATGTTAAAGTTTAATTGGCGGATTATGGTGGAAAATGGTGGTTTTGTGAGAGGAGTGTGTGAATGTTGAAAATCATCACGAGACGATCATCTGGTGTGCATATATTGCTCTTGAAAAACACCAAAATTTGGAGATTTGGGGGAGGCTTGAATGGTTTGGGAAAGTGTTTATATTCAATGTGCCATATGAGTTAGTGCATGCTTTTTCTACTACTGTTTGATGAATGATTCATGATCAAGTAATTTAAATTATTTATTTGATGCATATAGTATCATTTGGTTTTTATTATTCCATTTTAATATAATTTCTAGGGGTTTCCTTCCATAACTTATTATCATAAAAGGATTGTAGAATGAATAATTTGTTTCACGTTTTTTGTGTGTCTTATTTGATGATTTTTTATGCAATCTTTTATTTTATTGAATAAAATGTTATCCATCGAGTTCTCTTCTTTCTCTTGTGTGTGTGTTTGTGTTGGCCTTGTATCAGTGTTTATATAGTAAAACTTTTATAAATCAATAATGTAGGGACCATGATATTTTATCAATTTATGTATAGTGATATTAATTTATAGAGAGATTTTGTTTTAGCTGTTAAAGTTCTAGAAAAGTATGTGTTGAGACAATTTGATCTAAATAAAATTAATAAGTTGGATATTATAAATTTTGTAG